CCTCTACGCTTAGATCATATAGAAGGTCTGGTGTGATTTCATGGGGTTCAGGTACCTGGAGCACAGCTGTTGCCCGAACCCTTTCCGGAGCACCTGTGGAACGTTGGAGACGCAAAGTGATTAAGGGAGTATTAGTGTCTGTCGCACCCTCCACCCTCAGGTCTTACAAGAAGGCCTGGTGCGATTTCTTGGGCTTCAGGTTTGGGTCTTCGGGGCTTCTGCTAGCCCACCACCGATGACGTTTTGCAATACCTTTCACACCTTGATGACCTAGGGCACGCACCTAAAACATTAAAAATACATGTAGCCGCCATTAGCTTCTTTGCTAAGGCCATGTTCTCCTCCGATCCATGCAGTGACTTCCTGGTCCGTAGAGCTATCGAAGGCTGGGGCAGGTTACAACCCCTTAGGGTTCAGGGCCATAAGCCAATTTCTTACGGGTTGCTCTCTCAAATACGCAAAAAACTCCGGTCAATTTGTTGGTCCCGGTTTGAGGCCCGCCTCTTTTCTGCGGCATATGCCATCGCCTTTTTGCCGCCCTAAGAGTGGGCGAGGTCGTAGTCAAAGGTAGTGCGAATGGTGTGATGCGGGGCCTCCTTATGGAAGATGTACAGCTGTCTGAGGCGAGCATGTTGGTACGGATATGACAATCCAAAACTGATCGGGCCGGTAGGGGTGTCCTTCTAAAACTCACAGCGTCCGGGGGGCAGGGCCCTTGTCCAGTAAAGGACACCAGGCAGTATCTTTGCCTCAGACCACCTGGTCAGGGTCCGCTTCTGCTACACGAAGACGGGTCCCCCTTACTGAGACACCAATTCACCAGGGTACTCCGCAAAGCTATTGATGCTTGCGGTTTAGCTCCCCGGGATTATGCCGCCCACTCCTTTAGGATCGGTGCTGCCTCAACTGCCGTGTGCCTGGGCTTGCCTGCGGACAAGATTAAAGAAATGGGCCGATGGAAATCCAATGCTTATAAGGGTTATATACGTTAGTTTGCGCTCCGCTACACTGAATCTACTTACCCGCTTTCTCCTTTCTTTCGTTCTCAGCTGTTTCCGGGGGCACCGTGTGGATTTGCGGCCACAGTATTGTTCATTGGGCCCACGTTCGGGCTGTCAGCAGCGGCCTTACCCATCATCTTGGTTTGCCTCCTGGGATACGAGTTGCCTGGTTGTCGCGACGCGTCATGCGGTGGGAAGAGCTTATGCCATTGCTGATTGACAGAGTTGCCATGTTTGGCCCTCCTGACATCCTTATCATTCACTTGGGAGAGAATGACCTGGCCAATAGGTGAAGCGGGGATTTGTTGTGGTGCATAAAAAGAGACTTGGAGTCGATTGCGGTCTTGTGCCCTGGAACAATGGTGTGCTGGTCCTCCTTGAAAAGAATTGTCTGGCGCGGTGCGCAGAACTGTATGGCCATTGAAAAAACCAGGAGACTCCTGAACCGGGCGGTAGCCCGTTGGGTGCGCTTTATGAATGGCCGAGTCATTTGTTGTGGCGCATAAAAAGAGACTTGGAGTCGATTGCGGCCTTGTGCCCTGGAACAATGGTGTTCTGGTCCTCCTTCTTGAAAAGAATTGCCTGGCGCTGTGCGCAGAACTGTATGGCCATTGAAAAAACCAGGAAACTCCTGAACCGGGCAGTAGCCCGTTGTGTGCGCTTTATTTATGGCCGAGTCATTTATCATGACCGTATCCGGATCGGCGACCAAGCCATGTACCGGAATGACGGAGTTCATCTAACGGACATTGGGAATGATATTTGGTTGGACAGTGTCATTAGCAGCATTAGGGATTGGTTGCAGCTGTGAGGGTATTGGCGGCGAGCCCCTTTGCGGCTCAGGTGGCGGTTAGGCATTGGATTCATGTGTTGTGCTATGTCAAGGGCTAGGTGTGGCCATCGCCTATGCTATCTACCGTGGGTTATTCCGTTAAAGGAATCTGGCGGTCGTGTATTCCGTCCGATGCCTGCTTGGCGGGAGGCCATGGCACGACCCTCGGTGACATCAGGGGGTGAGCCTATAGTTGGATGAGCATCAACAGGCTCCACCTACTGTTGAATAAACCCACCACCTATAGTCATCCAATGCCTAAGCCAATACCTTTTCACTGCTGTAATCAATAAAGTTGTGGCCTTTTCTTGCCCATTAACCTTATATCACGTGTCCTTGTGTATTTATTTCACATAGCAGGGTCGGGCCCTCGATCCACAAAGACTCTCCTCCCTGGAAGAGAGGGGAGTGGTTGTGGGCGGGAGACCGAGCTCCGCCCCTGGTAGGGGGCTTTAGCCCCCTCCCCTCCTACCTGGCTGGTGCCCACGCCCACCGGAGGTGGCCAACCAGGTGCCTCCGGGGGCGTGTGTAGCAGCTTAATGCTGTGGTGCTAGCTCCGCCTCCTCCTCATTCATCGTCGTCCCTCAGCGAGTCACCCACCCTCCACTCCCATTTAGCTCAGGGTATAGGTTTTTGGCCTTGCTATGGACCTTAGGTTGGTCGCCCTGGTTGGCTGGGGGCCTGGTAGGAATTTTTCCATTTGGCATTAGGCCTTTTGGTTTTTTCGCCTACCTCGTAGCAATCGTCACAACTTTTGTGGTATTGGTGGGTAGGTTAGGCATTGGATTCATGTGTTGTGCTGTGTCAAGGGCTAGGTGTGGCCATCGCCTATGCTATCTACCGTGGGTTATTCCGTTAAAGGAATCTGGCGGTCGTGTATTCCGTCCGATGCCTGCTTGGCGGGAGGCCATGGCACGACCCTCGGTGACATCAGGGGGTGAGCCTATAGTTGGATGAGCATCAACAGGCTCCACCTACTGTTGAATAAACCCACCACCTATAGTCATCCAATGCCTAAGCCAATACCTTTTCACTGCTGTAATCAATAAAGTTGTGGCCTTTTCTTGCCCATTAACCTTATATCACGTGTCCTTGTGTATTTATTTCACATAGCGGGGTCGGGCCCTCGATCCACAAGTGATATCTTTTAAAAAAAACAATATGAGAAATGACTGGGGAACGTATAAATAATTGTTAATGGAAGTAGAACACCAAGTGAAATTGAAGAGGTTATAAGAGAATTATTAACGGACTGGTTACAATACCATCATTTAAGTGATATATTTAAGATGGACAAAAATAATTGTTTTGTATGAAACCTCTAAATTTGAAAAAGAGCTGTTAGAGAACAAAACAAAATTGCTTTCAAAAATGTACAAATTAATATTAGAATGGCATAAAAAAGAGGAACTGGTTAAATCAGTAATGATACAATGAGCGAGAGATTTTAGGTATAATATACAATTCACAGCAAGGGAGAAGCTATGGGATCGAGATTTGAAATTTACAGCATGCTGTACATTGAAAGAAATTTATATAAAAATATTGTATTGTTGGTATTTCTAGTAAATTAGCAAAAATGTACAAAACAGGGTCAAATACATGCTGGAAATGTAAGGAAAAGGAAGGCACCTTTTATCTTATGTGGTGGACATATAACGTAGTAAAAAAAATTGGGAAATGATATACAATGAACTGGAAAAAAATGTTTAAAATAACCTTTTCTTCTCCCCCCCCCCTTTTTAAAAAAGCCCAAAGCTTTTCTTTTAGGAATTCTAGGTGCTGAAATCCCAAGGGAGCAGAAAAGACTATTTATGTATGCGACCACAGCTGCATGGATATTATTGGCCCAGAGATGGGAAGAAGATAAAGTCCCTACCAAAGAAGAATGGCAGATTGAGTTGACGGATTATGCCAAAATGGCAAAAATGACTGGAAGAATCAGAAACCTGGAAGTTCAAAATTTTAATAAGGAATGGGGAAAATACATAATTTACCTTAAAAACCATTGTAAATAACTAAAATCATTGGTAGGATTGGAATAACACTTGTAGTTTAATGTTGAATTTTGGATATAATGGAGATGTAAAAGATCTGGATTGATATAAAAGGTGCAGGAGGAAAGGGTTAATATAAGGACGCACAAAGGGGAGGAGGGAAGTTCAGGAGATTCTTTGGAAGCATGTTTTTATGTTGGTTGTTGGATAATTGATTGTAAAATTTTAAAACCTGAAAAAGTCAACTTTTTCAGACACATCTCTCCCAACCATAATATGGGAATAGGAGTAGTGGCCGGCCTTTGGGGGTTGTTGTAACCATCACCGAGATAATGTTCCTAAAGCAATGGAGTGGCAGCAGACTGGGAAAGAAGAGAGAGGCCTGAGGGCATCAACACCAGGCAGGTGAGTTGCGTGGCAAGGCCCCGGGCCCCGCAGTTTCCCCAGAAACAAACGCACAGACACAAATATGTTGGGTTAATGGGATAAATTAGGCCACAACTTTATCGGTTATAGATGTGAGCGGTTTGGCTTAGGCAACTGGGTGAAGCAAGACTGTGTCCTGTCTGCAGGAAGTCTCGAAGGTCAAACACGATAGGGGGAGCCCTATGATAATACATCAATTAAGAGCACCCCAGGGTCACCGTTGGGGTCATGGCATGGCCCTAGCCCACACCCAGCCTTCAGACAGGAACCACACCCCCGGATCCCTTTAACGGGATACCCCTCCCATGCAGTGGCGTAGCGTGGGTTGTCAGCACCCGGGGCAAGGCAAGTAATTTGCGCCCCCTAACCCGTGGATTTGCGCCCCCTAACCCGTGGATTTGCCTAACCCCCAGATGTTGCGCCCGGTGCGGCCGGCCCCCCCTGCACCCCCCACGCTACGCCACTGCTCCCATGACAAGGCTTACCCAATGCCTAACCTTACAAAGTTGTGACGATTGCTGCTAGGTTGGCGAAAACCAAATGGCTGGTGTCAATTTGCCAAGCGGAAAAATTCCTACCCGGCCCCGACAACCAGGTGACTGACATTAGTTGTAGCACATATTCACTTATTCATTCATTCATTTGTCTGCAATATTTACTGTATAGGCCGCTCTGCAACAAAGTTCTCAGAGTGGCTTTTCTCAATCAGTTCTACGGTACAATATGTTTACAGATGAAAATCACCTTGATCATATTTTTCAGGGGAGTATGCCCTTCCGAAATCTTATGCACAAAGAGTGTCTCCAGTAGATGTCTGGTATAGTGTAAACAATGGCAGAAGCAGGCCAGGCTGCAGAAATTAGAAAAAGAAGGAAGTAAAGGTTAAAAAAATCCAACCAAAAAATTCATTGCAATGTTTGATGTAGCCATCTTTAAATCTCACCTGCTACCCGGAACTGGTTAAGAGCCTTGCTTCTCCTATTAACTCAATAGGTTATCTTAGAGAAGCATCTACAATCTGCATTGTATAGGTCAGGCACGTCCAACTCCCAAGAGACAGCGATCTACTCAAAGTATTAAAATACTGGCGGCGATCTACCGATTGCCAGCCAAAGTTGTTGAACTTTTTTTAAGGGGAGACAAATCAGTTGTGGACGTTTTTCTTTTTTGGGGGTGGCGGGACTTTTGCAAACGGTCCTGCGATCGACCATGATCTACCACTGATGCCCCGTGATTGACTGGTAGATCGCAATCGACCTGTTGGACATGCCTGGTACAGTCATACCTCTTGTTACGTTTGCTTCATGATACGTTTTTTCAGGTTGCGTCCTGCAGCGACCCAGAAGTACCAGAAAGGGTTACTTCCAGGTTTCACCACTCACACATGTGCAGATGTGGCGAATCGCGACCCACATGTGCGCAGACACACAGACACAGGTTGTGTTCCTTTCAGGTTGTGAACAGGCCTCTGGAACAGATCCCGTTCGCAACCAGAGGTACCACTGTATAGGTTAAATATTCCTCAAGATCTAAAAAGCCCACCAATCAAGACCTCACCCTCCTTGAACCTTTCTAAAAGGGAAAGAGTATGCACTTGAAACCTCATATCGTAAAGTCTGGTTCCCCCTTACGGTGTTAGGGTTGTAAGGCATGTACAAGGAACATATTGGCTTATGTGATCCTTCCAGGGTAGAAGGCTGCATCATGTTATTCTGTAGATCCATAGAAAGCCATGTTCATTGCCATTTCCAAAAAACTGATTCATACATGTTGCCATGGGTGATGGGGACCCCTCAGACTCTGCTTCTGCTTGGGGGACATTTATGATTTATATGATCCAACAATCTCGTCGTTGGCACATTCCCACTAAATATGTGTTCATTTGCCAACATTCATGATTATTTGATATGTTTGGTATAAATGTGAACCTTGTTTTCCACCATGGGATATATTTTCATTATCTTGTAATTTTATTCTTCTTGCTTTTATGACTGCTTTTGTGATTGCTTTTAGCTTGATGTTTGCTTGTAATTATATGCCTATGTTTAAAAAGTGGGGGGGTTGTCTAAAAAGCCTGCATAAGCTAAGAGCTCAGGTGTTTCCTTTACAAATATTACCCAGCATAAATTTCATAAATAAATTCAGATTTGTAGGGTGTGTGTGTTTGTGAATGATATGGCTAACCCATTCATGAATCCAGTGCTTTTTTTCTTCTTTAAAAAAATGTTTAGGGGTACTCTCATTCCGTCTGAGACTCAGGAAACACTTGACAGGAAATGAGGCCGCCATCGGGGGTTGCAGCAACGGAACTGACAAATCCCCGTGCTCTTCAACACAACTGATGATTCACTGTGCTAGAGAAGAAATACAAATTTTATTTTTTTTAGTTTCTTCTCCCGTTAGATTCCGGGCACAGGTGGCGCTGTGGGTTAAACCACAGAGCCTAGGACTTGCCGATCAGAAGGTCGGTGGTTCGAATCCCCGCGACGGGGTGAGCTCCCGTTGCTCGGTCCCTGCTCCTGCCAACCTAGAAGTTCGAAAGCACATCCCGCTCCAGCGGGAAGGTAAACGGTGTTTCCGTGCGCTGCTCTGGTTCACCAGAAGCGGCTTAGTCATGCTGGCCACATGACCCGGAAGCTGTACGGCGGCTCCCTCAGCCAATAAAGCGAGATGAACGCCACAACCCCAGAGTCGGCCACGACTGGACCTAATGGTCAGGGGTCCCTTTACCTTTACCCATTAGATTCACAAAATGTTGAGGGGTATGCGTACTCCTGCGTACCCCCAGGAAAGAAAGCACTGAGTGAATCAGATTGATGCAACCATGGTAGACCTCCTCCACTAAACTTAATTCACTCACATTTTTGTCTGCCTTTGCTCTAAGAGGGCATCATCACATCATATCATCCTTGAGCAGAGACCATTCTTACTCACTGAACTACAGGATGGCGTAGACTTCTTGCGCTCTCCTTTGCATCATAAATACTTGAGAGGCGAAGGTAAAAGAGCAGATAGATTAGAAGAGGCCCAGTATATTCGGTTAGGAAAACCTGGAAGAAGAAAGAAAAAAGGGCACCTGAAGCTAATGGGATCATAGAGTGATATTTCCCTGTGCAGCCTTAATATCATCTGGCAAATGCCAAATGGCTAGGGTATAAATAAATAACATTATTATTATTATGGAATGGGACGTCCTTATTTTCATTGGAAGGTATGCCTGCATGCAAAGTCAACAAGTCTTTTTAAGTTCACCTTTAGTTTTCATGGGGAATATGTTGCTCTTAGTATATAAAGCCCTTGAACCAGTTTACAATAAATAATAATAATAATAATAATAATAATAATAATAATAATGATAATAATAATAATAATTATTTATATCCCGGCCTCCCCAGCCAAAGCCGGACTCAGAGCGACTAACATCATGCAAGTAAGACAATGCATAAAAACAAGCAATCAATAAATTAAGATACATTCCATAATTAATTCAAACAAATTAAAATTAAAACTGGACAAGTGGCAATCTTCAGGTTAAAATTAAAGGCGGTTACCAACTGTTTCCACTGACATTACAAGCACCTGTGAGCGGGCCTTACTCCTTACTCATTGCCTTACTCCTTATGTACCCAATCAACCGCTTCAGTTTGTGCTGACATTATTCAGAATGAATAGTGTCCCAGACAAAGTAAAGTACAGGTATAAATATGAAGAAGATCTGCGGAAGGGACATGGAAGAGACTTAAGGGCCTCGGATATAAGATTACCAGGTTAATGAACTAGATGGATGGGATAGAAAGGACTGACAAAACCCGGGACCAGGAGGAAGAGACGTTGGATGAAGATTGGAAGAAAGTTAAAAAAAAATTATTAGGATTGTTTTGTAAAATTGATGAATGTTAGAAAAATGTTGGAACGAAATTATTCGGCTTTATAACCATTATACAGTTATCATCCTTTATCCTACACTCTTTGGCTTCTCCACACATTCCTCCATGGGATCTTATTTAATCCTTGTTGAGCTGTTTCTCCTTGATTCCCCCCCCCCTTCCTGATTTTCACTACTGCTCATGTATCTGGCCTTACTTGGAAATTTATATGGTTATTTCCTTCTTTAAGTAGTCTCCAAAGTATTCCCACTCCTCTTCTATAGCAGACTCATCCTGATTTCTTTATCTATGCAGTCAACATGGCTAATTCCACATATTCTATTATCTTATTCTGCCAGTCTACTTTTGTAGGCCTATTTTGATCCTTCCCAGCGTAGTCTTTAGCATATGCGCCGCCAGGGTGCAAAGATCTGCCCAGCGCCCCCAAATTTAGTTTAGCCCCCAAATTAACTTTTATTATGGTTATGTCTGACACCACACTTATGCCTTATCTCATGTTTACGGAAGAAGGGAGGGAAAAGAAACATTTTTTTGCTCATTTATTTACAATACACTTATACTTAAGTATACAACACCACCACACTTAAACTTATAAGTATTGTTTAGGCACCTTCTTAGGAGAAACATCAGCCGTGTCAAAGTTGCTTCTGACCCAGCTGCCGCATAGCACCTCAATACAATACGTAACATAATATTTCGATGTAAGAGTTAATTTCGCATGCACAGCGCCATTGAGAATGACAAGCACCATCGTTGAGTCTGACAAGCGCCGCCATTGTGAATGACAAGTCTTAGGTAAATGAGCACACAAAGTTGAAAGTCCTTTAGTGAAACAGTAGGTATACATTTCAGTAATACCTAGGTATATATGTATTTTGTTTTTCTAGCTTGATCAAAATGATTTATTATTTCATAACAGGTAGATAGTTAAGAGCTTAGGCGGCTTCAGCGGTGGGCGCCCCCCAGAATTTGGCGCCCGGGTGCCTCGCACCCCTTGCACCCCCGGGTAAAGATGGCCCTAGAAGATTGGAAGAAATTTAAAGACTATTTACAGAAATATTGTAAAATTAATGAATGTTAGAATGATGTTGGATAGAAATTAAGTGGTTTTTAGCTGCAATACTATAAGGGAATATGAAAAATGGATTACTAATAGGTAAAAATTTAATGTTACAATATTTTAAGATTAAAGAATAGGATAAACAAAGAGGGGAAGGATTTGCTGAACCAACAAACTGAACTGGAATACAAAAAAGGGAGGCATGAGGAGGGCCGGGAAACAAGCTAATGAAAAATAAGTAATGGAAAGATTGAGTTGTTTTTAATTATTTTTATTTTGTATTTTTCTTTTTTCTATTTTTCTTTTGTAATATTTTGAAAACCTTAATAAATATCTTATATATAAAAAAGATGGCCCTAGTCTCTCCACCTTTGAGCGTAAATTATTCTGGTCGGTGCCGTTGCGTAGAGAAAGACAGTGAGTGCTTTCTTGGGTATTTCACCCTCTATTATACTCAATAAGAACATACTTGTTGCAGTTGGCATCTATCTTAGAATACAATGGAAGAGTACACCTTTGGGGGGTGAAGTCGAACTCTCGTAATTGCTGCCTCCTGTGTTGTTTTTGCTGCATTAGAAGCACTAAAGTGACCTTTCTGGGGCACAAGCCTGGGCAGTGTGTGTTGAACCCCTTCTCATCCTTGCTGGTGTAGTCCAAAGGAAAACAGAGCCATACATTTGGCACCAGGTTGGCTGCAGGAGTTGCCAGAAGGAGACATACAAGATGCCATCCAACCTTCTTAGGGACTTGTGTGGGGTTTATTCCTTAGCTTTTTCTAAGAAAGCATGAATTAGTCGAACTTGGCAATGTCACTGGGCATCTTTGTCATCAGTCAGCTGGCACAGTTGAGGCACCGTGATGTCAAGAACAGAAAACGATTAAAGTTGCTTATTGACTTTGGGCGAGGAGGAGAGTACATTGAGGGGAGAAATTAGTAGCAACAGTGATAAAAGCAGCTGCACTATAGATTATCCAAAGCGCTGGCTTTAGTTTCTTGCCAGCTGAAATTGGAGCAGGATGCGTATTCACAAAAGAGTCCAGACCAACTGATACAAAATGTACTGAATGCTTAGTATGCTTCTGTGTGTCATCTATTTATATGTGGCAGAAGAAGAGAAGGGGTGGATGTTTCTGTTAATTCCTGATTCCATGAATGCCAGAGAGAATTTTAAATTCAGACCATAAGCATCATCTGCCTAGATCATTAATTTGAGAAACTCACCTTACAGTGATGGTGGTGACACAGCGTTTCTGAGTCACCACCATGTATTAAAGGCACATCCTGTGTTCTGTTTAACTAACTGAGAATAGCTCTTTCTTCACCTTTCTTACAGAATCTCTTCTCTAGCTACTTGGTGATGCACATGCTACTTGGTGATACTGTTGGTGATAAAAAAATTGATCAACTGACCTGGCTAGGAAGCATTTGTAAACAGTTCTCTTTTTTATCATTTCCTTCCAGGCTATTGAGCCACATAGATACACGAAACAAATGGGCCAGTAATTTTTTTCACAGACTAGTAATATCTGTGCACATTAGCAAGGCTAATTTGGCTTCCTCCATTTGTCAGTTTAAGCATGAAAGCTCTGCATTCAGACCAACAATGACCACTCCCCGCTTAAAACGGGGGGCGCCCTTTGCGTGGACGCACGCAGCCCCTAGATCTGGAGCGGCTCCAACAGCATAGGCTTGGTTTGCCTTCCCTCAGGTGGGATACCTGGAGGTCTCCGCCTACCTCAGTCAGTTGTCCAATCCCACCTGGGGGAAGTGTTGCCAAGGAGACCAGGCCAGGTAGGGGAGGGATTACCTGCCCACACAACAGAGGGAGGATCTTACCTGGGAATCCTCACTTGGCTCCAGAGCTTCTCCCGCCCTACCCACCCTCAGTTAAGGTCTTATTTGCAGGTTAACTTTTCTTCACAGGTTTTGCAGGTTAACCTTTCTCCACAGGTATGCGGGCGCTGCTACGTTAAGGTCGCTGTTAAAGGGCCGGAAAGGAATTTCCCTGCATTGGCAGGTTTCGCCTTTCCCGTAGCAAAACGTCACAACTTTGGCGGTATCAGGCCTTGGGCGGAATCCTTTTGTCCATCTTCCTCTTTGCGGCGGCGATACCAGGGTTCCCCGTTAAAGGGGTTTTCTGAAGGGAGGCTTTGACCGTACGCCGAAAGGTCGTCATTGCTCTCCCCTGCGGCGGCGGCGTTACGGGGGCGGCTATCTCTGCTTGAACATATGTTCTCCAGAGCCGGCCCATCCCCCACACACTCACTGGATAACCCTGATGCTCCCTAGGTCCCCGGCTGGGGACTGGGGAGGGAGAACGCCCAATGCCTGAGCCAAGGTCTACCCACATTTGAAATTTAATAAAGTTGTGGCCAATTTAATCCCATAGCACGTAGTCTTGAGTCGTTATTCCACATGACGGGGGGACCGCGCGGGATCTGGGGACTCCGTCTGTCCACGCAAATACCTTTTCAGCGTGGTACTACTCAACATGGGAGGAGTAATGTTTGAAAGCTTCTTACCATGTGTGTCATACACCAATTCTTACATCCTGGGTGGTAGCTAGAGAAGTTGTAGGCTGTGCTGTACAGTGGTGCCTCGCAAGACGAAATTAATTTGTTCCGCGAGTTTTGTCGTCTTGCGATTTTTTTCCGTCTTGCGAAGCACGGTGTCGGGAAAGTTTTGGAAAAGCTTCAAAAATCACCAAAGTCTTCAAAAACCTCAAAAAAGGCTACCACACCGCGTTCTATGAGTTGCTCCTCGAAGTCAAGTCACAACTGTATTAACAGTGTTAAGAAAAAGGAAACAAACTTGCAAGATGTTTCCGTCTTGCGAAGCAAGCCCATAGGGAAAATCGTCTTGCGAAGCAACTCAAAAAACCAAAAACCCTTTCGGCTAGCGAGTTTTTTGTCTTGCGAGGCATTCGTCTTGCGAGGTACCACTGTACTTTGATCTGTATTTTTCCATGAACTGACCAAATTTGCATTTCTCAGATTAGGATGTCAGAGAATTCCAATGAAAATGGCAGCAGAAAATTGCTGGTGCTCACTTATTTGTTCCATGTTTGGAATGGGAATTAATCCAGCAAATACAATTGGCATTTGCTGTTGTTTTCAGTCTGAGAACGATGTGCAATGATACATAATGTAAGACGTTCTTTTTCCAATTTGCATTATGTTTCCTCTGCACTGAAATGGTGTGGAATAAAAATTAATTACATAATGTTTCACCATGGTGGACAGAAATGAATCATGTAGCTTTTTGCAGCGGCTGAGCTGCAGCAAACCAGGGACTGTGCTGCATGCACTGAATACAAGGTTGAACAAGTTGTATTTATATAGACTTTTGTATACAGTGGTACCTTGGGTTACATATGCTTCAGGTTACATACGCTTCAGGTTACAGACTCCGCTAACCCAAAAATAGTACCTCGGGTTAAGAACTTTGCTTCAGGTTGAGAACAGAAATTGTGCTCTGGCAGCACGGTAGCAGCAGGAGTTAAAGTGGTGCTTCAGGTTAAGAACAGTTTCAGGTTAAGAACGGACCTCCGGAACAAATTAAGTACATAATCAGAGGTGCCACTGTATTCAAAAGGCAGCCCGAAAACAGAGTATTGCTGTAATCCTCACAACAACCTTATAAGGAAGAGCAGTAGAATTCTCCCCATATTTCTGAAGGAAAGTGAGTTGCCTAGTAAGGTCATTGCAAGTTGAAATTTGAAACAGGTGCTTCTTGACTTGTAGCCAGGCTTTTAGCTATTATGGGTTCTTTTGATAAGCCAGCTCCAATCTACCGAAACCTCTGTCCAAAGGAGCTCCAGGAATGTACAATAAGACCTAGCATGGTGGAAGCACTTGTGGAAGTTTCATTAGAAAATGATAAAGACGGGTTGTGGAAGGAAGGTATTAATTTTACTGCATGCAGTGCACTTAAAGAAAATGTTATGAAAATGATGTAAAAGGTAAAGGTAAAGGTAAAGGTACCCCTGCCCGTACGGGCCAGTCTTGACAGACTCTACAGTTGTGCGCTCATCTCACTCTAGAGGCCGGGAGCCAGCGCTGTCCACAGACACTTCCGGGTCACGTGGCCAGCGTGACAAAGCTGCTCTGGCAAGCCAGCGCAGCACATACGGAAACGCCATTTACCTTCCCGCTAGTAAGCGGTCCCTATTTATCTACTTGCACCTGGGGGTGCTTTCGAACTGCTAGGGTGGCAGGCGCTGGGACCGAGCAATGGGAGCACACCCCACAGCGCCACCCGCATCCCTAGAAAATGATGTACAGATGGTATTTAACACCAGCTAAATTGGCTAAAATGTACAAGACAAGAACTAATGAGTGCTGGAAATGTAAAGAAAGGGAATGTGGTGGACTTGTAAACAGGTAAAGGCTTTCTGGGAAATGGTATATAATGAGTTAAAGAAGTTTTTTTAAAAAAAATACTTTTATTAAAAAACCAGAAGACTTTTTACTGGGTATAGTGGGTGATGAGATACCAAGGGAAGTTAAAAGACTGTTTATGTGTGTAACAACCGCAACAAGAATTTTTTTAGCCCCAAAAATTGGAAACAGCAAGAAGTACCAACGAAAGAAGAGTGGCAGATGAAGATGATAGACTTTGCAGAACTGGCGAAGCTGACAGGAAAAACCCCAAACCAGCACAATCAAGTATTCCAAAAGGATTGGAGTAAATTTATACGATATTTGAAAAATTATTGTAAGCAATTAACATCACTAGCAGGGTTGTCCAATGACTTGTAATGAGAAATTTTCTATCTATATTTATTTAATTTTTGAGACATTCTGTAACAAGTCTAATTAGAATTGGAAAATGTATAAATTGCAATGATATAAAAATTAATTTCAAAAGCCATGAGGCGGGAGGGAAGGAAGTCGATAGGCGCCAAAGAGCCAGGGTGGTATAGTGGACAATGATGATGTGAATGTATAGCATTAAATGGAAAATAAATAAAAATTATATTAAAAAAGAAAATGATAAAGCGTGTTCTCCCTAACAGAGAGCACGTGTTGCGGTTGGGGGAACAAGCCACCCTGCCATTACCGGGCAGATTTGGTGAGGAACCCAAGCCTTTAAGTGGTTAAAATTGGGTTGCTGGGGAGTTTTGATTGATGCCAATTTGGAGGAGGGGTCAGAGTCTTTAAATACAGGGGCCAGACGTTGGACGTCCTCTTGGCCGTTTTGCACCGGATCACCCGCCCTCCCTCCCTTTAATAGGGTGTTTTTTTCTTGATCGCTTGACCTTGCTATGCCTGTCATGGGGTCGTCTGCCTTGGAGTGGGGGCCTGGTAGGAATTTTGCCATCTGGCTGATTGGCTGGTGCCATTTGGTTTTTGCCTACTGCATAGCAAATCGTCACAACTTGTAAGGTTGGTGGTTAGGCATTGGTTAAATTGGTGCTTGGAGGGGTAAGTGCCTACCCCTCCAAATGATGCGGAAAGGGAATTCCGTTAAAGGAATCCAGGGGCTTGCCATTCTTTTCGTCCTTGTCCCTGGCATCGGACTTGGGCCGTGCAAGCCCCACAAGAACATGAGGGTGAGAAGTGAGGGACTGATGCCCAGCTTCATTTTCTCACCCAATACTTGTTTCCCATGCTAGCTTCCGTTGGTGTCCTGAGGGCATGGACAGATAGTCATAACCAATGCCTAAGCAACCACTCACATTTTTTGTATTTTGAATAAAGTTGTGGCCAAAATTATGCCAAAAACCTTAAACAAAAAATTGATGTGTGAAGTGTGAATTTTTTGGGGGGTGGCATTGTGGGACTCAACATGCAAAAACCAACAAAGCAAGAAGCACCTCTCAAGTTAATGCACAACTCTGCCGTGTGAATTTTACCAAAAGTTAAACTTACTGTTGTCCAGGTGACTTGCTGACCCATGTCCGTGAAATACAGCGTAATGATAGAAGAAGCTGCAAGGGCCTTTATGTTGACGGAGTCTCTCAAGTAAGACCCATCTATGATAACAAAGAAACAGAAGGAGGTGACATGCAGTCTGAACTGAAACACCGCTTATGTGTTACATGCTCGAACCCAATTCCATGAGATGTCCGACTAACACATAGCCACTGAAATGCCAAATCTGTTCAGGTAGCGTTCAAATGGCCTCATACCACATTTGCTTCCTGCCAGTCCACAAATCACTTTTGAATGGGAGCACAAGATTACACCAAGTCTGCAGTATATACCACAGTGACCAAACATTATGTGGTCAGCATTTGATGCAATACCTTCACAGAGAAATCACCTGACATTGATTTAAGGATGCAGCATGAGAACATTGTCCCAGGTCTTATTTATTTGCCCAAGTTGCTCAAATGGTGGACTTGCAAAGGGTGAGTTCCTCATGGCTCAAATTCACGCTTCTAGCCTAGGGGTCAGCAAACTTACCGCACCTCAGGCCTATGTCTCCAGTGCCGATCACATGGCAGGCCAGAGGGTGGGGGAGCGCGTGCCCATACGCGTGCACATTTGTTATTTCCTGCGCACTTCCGGGTTGGAGGAACACCGGAAATATCTTGTGCGCATGTGCACGGGCCTCCTCCAACCCGGAGGTGCACAGGAAATAACGCTTGCACATGTGCAAATAATGCTTGTGCATGCGCACAAACTATTTCTGGTGCTCCTCTGACCCAGAAGTGGGCAGCCGCGCAGTGCAGCACCGGTAAGAGCGGGCGTCGGCAGCGGGTGTTGCTGCGGGCCGGATAAACGAGTCCCTCGGGCCTTATCCAGCTCGCGGGCCTTAGTTTGGGAACCCCTGTTCTAGCCGGTAAGGAGGACAGGCAAGCAATCTCCTTGCCAGCATGAAAGAAACAGAACATCAAAGATGGTTCAGTGCTATCAACACACACCATGTTCACGCTGGTCAGAGAGGAAGTTGACCTTTGGGGCTACCACCCCTTCTTCACTTCCCAAAGATCTTCTGGCAGGACTAGCAACTGAAGACGGCAATGCATACATAAAATATAAGACAATCTTCACATTTGCAAATCTGTGAAAATATTGGGGAAAATCTAAACTGGCACAGTCAGTATAGCAAAACATTTATTTCTTGGTTTGTCCATCCGTATTATAAACATTGGGAAGCTCATTCTCATGTACAAAAGGTAATGTGGAAATTCATTCAGAAAACAAGCTCTAGAGCAGGGCTTCTCAAACGTGGGCCTATAGCTGTTTGAGGACTACAATCCCCATCATCCATGACCACTGGTCCTGCTAGCTATGGATGATGGGAGTTGTAGTCCAAAAGCAGCTGGAGACCCGAGTTTGGAAAACCCAGCTGGGGAGTACCTTGGCAGAAAAACGAGTACTTACTGCGTTCAAGTCGCAGGCCTATGCGAGATGGCGACCACTGGGGACCTGCATTCGAATAAGTGAAAAATGTACCTTTCACTCCGAAACATTTTTTAAAAAAGAATAAGAAGGTTGCTCTTAGAAAGAACTGTCTGGCAACAAATGAGAGCACAGTGCAAAAGCAGAGTAGAGATTTAAAGACCTCAGCTAACCTAATAGAAAGATATTTAAATCCCCTACTTTATGTGTCTTTCATATCAACCAGGGCACATATTTTCTGTGAACGTGAAATGCATCAATTTTGATGTCTAGGTTGTCCAGGCCTTAAATAGCAAAGGTCATCATAAATGTCATTTAAGGTGAATGGGAATCAAGTGTCTGAGAATTCTCAAGAACACTTCGGTGTAACTGCAGAGAGATAACGGTATCATTTTGACAACCCTTTGTTTCATTCACCCCCAGACTGGAAAACGCTCCTGGAAAGGAGTTATACCACCTAGAAGACTTTCTGTCTGAAAATAAATATATATATCGGGAGCTTGCTTCACTTTGCCTGGACAGTCCTGTTAAAATTTGTGCTGCTTGTGGTAGAGGAACTGAAATACCGTCACTGTTAAAAGTTTATAAAATATGGAAAAATATGAACAAGACACCAGGGAGTTCAGATGTGAATGCAAAAGGAAAACATATTTGTTTTCTCCCCAGAAATTATCCCGGCCCGCTGCAAAGGAATACAATGGATTTATTAGTATTTTAATAGCTAGGAGTTCTAGCTTATAAATTGGTAGATTAACCAACTAAAAATTTAGTTGATTGACCTCAACCAATTTAAACTGATGGGGTAAGGATGAAATACACACCTATTTATATACTGAGGCTACTTTGGTTTGGCTATGTGGGAGGATGCTGAAAATTACAGGCTGGTTAGCTTAACACCTGTCCCATGGAACCTGGTGGAAAGCTTTGTCAAATATGTAATTACCAAGAATATAGAAAAACAAGTCTTTCTGAAGCAGAACCAGCATAGCTTCTGCAAGGGTAAGTACTGTCTCCCATAAGATTTCTTTGAGAATGTCAACAAGTATATAAACAGAGAAGATCTAACTGACATTGTGTTCTCAGCAGGCTGGAGGAAAATCTCAGGTTTGCAGAAATACAAAGAGAGAGAGAGAGAGAGAGAGCGCTTTAGCGCTTTAGCAATAATAATAATAATAAACACCTCTCCAAGGGGAAGTCCTCCTTCCAACTAAGCATGCTCATTTAAGAAGGAATTCAGGCAGGGAATCTGGGATAGGGCTGTGTGGATATAGTGACTAGCTGAATCCCTGAACAGAAGAAGCTCCTTGCTGTAACATTTTGTTGCAGGCCCCATGTATAATCCTAACTGTGGCATCGGTTCTCTGAGTGTTAATCCTTGCATAGCCAAAACACAAGGTGAGATGTCAACAGGCTTGAGGAAACCCAAATGTTTAAAGAAGTACAAATATATATTCCATCTCCTCAGAGTATTGCGAAAGAACGATGTTAATCAACATTTGATGATCTCCTTCTACCAGTCCACAATAGAAAGTGTCCTTTCATACTGCATCACGGTGTGGTACGCTGGTTTGACATCAACTGATAGGAAGTGCCTACAGAGGCTGGTGAATACAGCAGAAGATATTATGGGCTATTCCGTGAATCCGCTGGATGAAATAGCGGAAGAACGTTGCCTCAGGAGAGTGAGTAAAATTCTCAGGGATGATTCACACCCTGGCTGGCACTTTCTTGATCTCCTGCCCTCGGACAGAAGATATAGAAGCATGATTAGTCGCACCAACAGGGTAAAGAACAGCTTCTGTCTGTGGGCTGTTAGGCTGCTGAATGAAAAGATAACAACAGGGCAACTGACTTTCGGGTTTGGTGTGGTGTGCATCAGTAAATGAGGGGAATTAAGACTAAGAGAGCTGAGTGGGGGGGGGTGCTTGCGTAATCTCACTGTATACAAGTTGCACAAGTGACAATAAAGTATTTCAATTCTCTCTCTCTCTCTCTCTGTCTCCAATATATATATATATACAGTAGTACCTCAAGTTACAAATGCCTCAGGTTACAAACGCTTCAGGTTACAAACTCCGCTAACCTGGAAGAGTTGCCTCGAGTTGAGAACTTTGCCCCAGGATGAGAATGGAAATCGTGTGCCGGCGGCACAGCGGCAGCAAGAGGCCCCATTAGCAAAAGCACATCTCTAGTTAAGAATAGTTTCAGGTTAAGAACGGACCTCCAGAACGAATTTAGTTCGTAACTAGAGGTAACGCTGTAAAGGAATAAATTTTCTAAGCAAACAACAAAAAAAGCAACCCGAAACCACACACCCCAGACTAATGCAGACTAAGCATGCTCAGTATGCACAGAATAATGCTCAGTATGCGCAGAATAATGTTGGGTGTCTGTTATGGGGGTGGGGGGAATGAAAACCAGGAGGATAGGGGCAGTGACGTAGCTAGCTGCTCCAGCACCCGGAGCGGCAGGGGCAGGGCGATCTGCCCACGGGGGCGGGGCAGCAATCTGTGCACGGGGACGTCACGGTGATCCGCGCATGGAGTCCACCTGGGGGACGCAAGCCCCACACAGCTGTTTCGGACAGCATGGGGTCCCAAGTCACCGTGTCACTCCCAGGAGAAATGCGTGGCTTGGGCGCACTGCAGGCCAGGCGCCACGGTAAGTGCCCCCCCCCCCGCGATGTGCCATTTTGTCACCCCCCCTCCAGGATGACACCCGGGGTGGACTGCACCCCCTTCCTACACCCCTGGGCAGGGGAATGGCGCTTCCTGAAAGGTGGCTTGGCTGGTTGGCTGTAACACTGAAGAGGACCCCTTTCCACAGCATTGTGGTGGCTTATTTTTAGCTCCCTCTTAGTTATCAACCAAATCAGGAATCAATCAAGGCTGAGCTTTATGTATGAAAGAGTGGTGATTAAAGCTATTTTATCTGCACCGCCTCCATAATATTGGGATAGCAGCTGCACACATTTCTATTTCAACATTGCATATAGCTGATTAAGCCACATTTTCTCTGATTATTAAAATGTGTGACACTAGATTATGCTGATGCAAGTATATCACCGCTGATGGGGAGAATGGACCAACATGTCCTTATGTTCCAATATTTGCACTTTCTGCCTAAAGTGCTCACACAATATGCCAATGTGTTTCTCCCGTGCTGCTGTCGCAGGGAGCCTGCACTGCTGCTACTCCCCTTTCCCCAGTGGTGAACTTCAAGCAGAAAGCTTGCAGTCTTAAAGTAAACAAAGGAAAGATTCCTACAGAAAGCCTTTTACAGTACTCATTGCTTGGATTCACTTTAACAAGTTTTAAAGAACAGCCATGATCAGGGTGGATTTTCCTACACCTTTTTAATCAAATTAAACAAGTCTGCATCAAATACACAGATGAGAGGCTTGCAGGGAAACCTAGCCCAAACTTCCTTTGAAGAAAGGCTGGTTAAGGTTTAGCAAATACAGTAGACCTGAAATTTACAAGAATTTAACATTCAGATTTATGTGCTTGGCTTTTTTTTTTAAGGGGGCAGAAAGTGGGGTGGGTCTCCTGACCTGATTCAGGTCTGCTGCTGACGGTACAGTGGTACCTTGGGTTAAGTACTTAATTAATTCCGGAGGTCCGTTCTTAACCTGAAACTACAGTGGTGCCCCGCAAGACGAATGCCTCGCAAGACGAAAATCCCGCTAGACGAAAGGGTTTTCCGTGTTCGATGCGCTTCGCAAGATGATTTTCCCTATGGGCTTGCTTCGCAAGACGTTCCCGTCTTGCGAGTCTTGCAATTTTTTTCACTCCCCCCCTTTTTCTAAGCCGCTAAGCCGCTAATAGCCTTTTAGCCACTAAGCCACTAAGCCTTTAATAACCGCTAAGCCGCTAAACCGCTAATAGCGCTAATCCGCTAATAGGGTTGCTTCGCAAGACGAAAAAACCGCTAGACGAAGAGACTCACGGAACGGATTATTTTCGTCTTGCGAGGCACCACTGTATTCTTAACTTGAAGCACCACTTAACCTGAAGTACCAGCTAATGGGGCCTCCCGCTGCTGCTGTGCCGCCGGAGCACGATTTCTGTTCTCATCTTGAAGCAAAGTTCTTAACCCGAAGTACTATTTCTGGGTTAGCAGAGTTTGTAACCTGAAGTGTATGTAACCTGAAGGTACCACTGTATTAACTTTTTTTTTAAAAGCAAACGTAAGATCTCCAGTTCCACTTCTCATTTGGCCCTGGATGTAAAACTTTTAAAAATTGTTCCTTTCAGTTTCAGAATTAAAGTGACAGCTATATAATTAAACACTTAAATTAAAAAAGAGATATTTTTAAGGCAATTGCATTAAGCACTAAGTCCCTAAATGCAATACAGTGGTGCCCCGCAAGACGAATGCCTCGCAAGACGGAAAACTCGCTAGACAAAAGAGTTTTCCGTTTTGGAGGTGCTTCGCAAAACGAATTTCCTATGGGCTTGCTTCGCAAGACGACAATGTCTTGCGAGTTCCTGCTGGTTCCCCCCCCCTTTTTCTAAGCCGCTAAGCCGCTTATCAGCTGATCCGATCAGCAGATAAGCCACTAAAAGCCGCTAATAGCGCTAATCCGCTAATCCTTCAATTGGCTTGCTTCGCAAGACGAAAAAAACGCTAGACAAAGAGAATCACAGAACGGATTCTTTTCGTCTTGCGAGGCACCACTGTACTTTTACAACTGGGATTTATCTAAAAACTTGCCAGTCTAATAGTATTTGTGACTGTGGTGGGAGGAAAGATAAACACTTTCTGATTCAGAAAATAAACATTCTGCATCTTCAGAAGTCACATGAGGGGTTTTTTGTCTCTGAAATTCCCATGTGGATGAACTCTAGATAGAATGAACACCAGCACTGGAAGACACTCAGCTGTCTCTAAATATCTATGGGCTCGTGGGAAACTTGTTGCTCATGAGGCAGAATTTATCTCCTACAGGTATGTGTCTGCTTGACATATACATATAATAAATTGCAGCAAATTTCAACAGTTCATATAACTTGCATTGAGATTGTGCACAATGCGGCGAAGCAAGACTATGCACCATATTACAGCCCATTCCCCACCCCCACACAAAAAGAGGAGACAAATGCCTCCGTTACTAACTCCATCCACCTAGCAGTAAGCTCCATTGAGTTTAATAGGGAGTACTTCTGAGTAAGGGACGTGGGTGGCGCTGTGGGTTAAATCACAGAGCCTAGGGCTTTCCGATCAGAAGGTTGGCGGTTCAAATCTCCACGACGGGGTGAGCTCCCGTTGCTCAGTCCCTGCTCCTGCCAACCTAGCAATTCGAAAGCACATCAAAGTGTAAGTAGATAAATAGGTACCACTCCAGCAGAAAGGTAAATGGCATTTCTGTGCACTGCTCTGGTTCGCCAGAAGTAGCTTAGTCATGCTGGCCACATGATCCGGAAGCTGTACACCGGCTCCCTCGGCCAATAAAGGGAGATGAGCGCTGCAACCCCAGAGTCAGTCATGACTGGACCTAAGGTCAGGGGTTCCCTTACCTTTACATTTTACTTCTGAGTAGACCTGCTTATGATGGCAGGCTTTTTCAACCAGTTCCAACCCAGTTACCTTGCTGGTTGCTCTTCCTTTCGCTGTTCTCCCCTACCATTTTCACCCTCACTACCCATCTCTTCTCCCATGCCTTCATATCCCAAATGGCTGTTTCCATCCCCACCATTGGAGAACAAACTCTGTAAATAATTCCATTCCAAAAGGGCTTGCTCCTGCATTGCTTCAGGCTGTGGCAAGTATGAAAAATTACCATATTTTCCATCTATAAGATGCCCCCCATGTATAAGATGCCCCCTATTTTGGGGGGCTCAGATTTAAGAAAATGGGGGGGGGAGAGATGACCCCGTGTATAAGATGCCCCCTAATTTTTGACATTATTTTTTAGGGAAACAAACCTAGTCATACACGGAAAAATACGGTATGTTGTTTGCTGCCTCTTGGTCTGCCACCTGGGACACAAGCCCCCTTTTGCCTACCCCTTCGATCTGGGCCTGTCTCTCTCTCTCACACACACACATACAGTTTATTCTGAGTTCTTGGTGACAGGAGACAGCTTTTTCCCTATGCAAAAGGCCCCGCCAGGTACTTACATACTTTGTGAAACTTATGTTTTACATCGAGAAGCGTTGATGATGGTGGTATCTGAAAATTGGAGAGGAAGAAAATATGTTGTACTTGGCTTTGTCTTGTCTGTTTTTTTTTGTTTTTTACTCTGCTTTGCTTTTGTATTTCTAACAGACCCCAAAGAAGTATTTAAGAAGATTAAAACATTTCCCTCTCAATCTGAACTGTGCCATACTCCCTGGGCACAACTGAACCAAAGTCAAGCACTTTAAGTTCCATTGTTCTCATTATTATTATTTTTTAAAAAGGACACACATCTCACAAATGCAGGCTCATGTAAATGATGTAACATCATGCACATTAAGGCATGCATGTAGATAGATGTTCAGTTCCTGTGATCCCATGAGCTGGTGTCAGAGTGGCTGAATGACTGAGCTATGAGTCAGTAAGTTCAAATTTCACCTCTATTATGCAGGGACAAGATTCCTTTAGGCCAGCAATTCTGTCAATCCTTTATAACATACTGAGCTACAATATGGGGTTGTTCTAAGGATTATAGGGGAAGGAATTTTGCGCCTTCTAAAGTACAGTGCAAATATGTCATTATTACCCTTCTACCACAAAAATGGCCTGAGTGCATCCAAGAAACACTGGTTTCAAATGAGAATGTAAAACGCAGACTATTATGGAAACTGAATACCTCCTATCAAATTAAAGTAGTAAATCTAGATGATATATAACAAATATAGATAGATATAGATGTATGCAGGCTTATCTGGGACTAAGTCCTACTGATTTACTTTCTGAGTAAATATGCATAGGATTGCACATCCTGAAAATCAAACATTAAAATACCATCACATGTCAAATATAATCTGCTACCATAATATCCAATGTTAAATATCATCAGATATCAAACACTGGCACTGAACAGCAAGACTCTGAATATTCAGCATTATTTTAATGTTGAAATCTGCAGTAAAGGACATTACGAGTGCAAACTTGTTCTGTCTTCCTGCAGAAGAATCTATAGCCGTTGCTAAATAGGAGTCGAATACTGTGAAAAAATCTAGCCTAGAATATTAAAACAGCCTTCATTTATAGTGGAGGGTGGGAGGAATAGGCAGAAAAGCAGAATTTGAGATTTACAGATAAATGCATCCCATCTTCCAAAGCCTATTTATGCACTTAGGTCTGTTTGATTCACTGCCCTGTTTGAAAGTTACAGGGTTTCATCAGTGCCACAGGGTAAAAAAACAAAAGGCAAATCTGTCCTTTCCTATGGAAAGTTAAATATAAGCTGCAATATGAACATCACAGAAAAATAACACAATTTGATTCTTCCTATCAAGCTGTAGAATGAGTTAGATGCATTTACAATTTGGCCAGAAAGGAGGTTAAAAATTATTGCATGCAGCCATATATATAGGCAGGAAAGCAAGACTCAGAATACTCCTAATTGTGTCTACTCAGAAGTAAGTCCTATTGAATTCAGTGGGGTTTACTCCCAAGTCAGTGGAGTTTGGCTTGCAGGGCAAGTCATGCATTTAAGATCACACATCCCACAGCGTGCTGCAGTAGGTAGTGTGTGATAAAAAACATGCAAACCACATCGACTCACCTTGTCCACTACACAAATCTGTTTTTTGCTGTGGGCATCAAGGATCTCCACTTCAAAGTAAGTTGTTTTGGAGTGCCTTAAGACTGGAGGCGGTTTCAGGTGGCCGGCCGAGAGGACAAGCTGAGACAAGCTGAAGAAACTTCTCGTGTCATTATGTGGCAGTGCAGGTCCATGGATAGCAAGGTCTCTCTTGTGCTCCGAAGAGCTGGGCTTATGTCTCCTGAACATGGCGGGGACAAAACACTAAGGCCTGTCATGTCAACGCTGGACACCTCTGAGGAGAAATCTGTTGTCCCGGCATCAGTTAAATACAAGCACAGGCCACTGGAACACGAAAGGTCAAGTGACATTCCATTTGGAGAGTCTTAGTTTTATATAGCAGGATTGGAAACAATGGCTTTCTAATCCGTGACTATATTTAGCGGGTTATTGTAATGTGCTGTGTTACCTTTTTTTTTATTTTAAATACAATGTTTGAAACAACATGTCCTGTTCAGTTCCTTATCTTCATTTGCTAATAATTACAAGCCAGTCCGTTTTTTTAAAAAAAAGAAAAAAAGCCAGAGCTATAAAGGAACCAGAAGTGATATGCAATGGAATGTCATCATTATCTATAGAAGCCGGGTGTGTAAACAGGTCCATTTATGAAAATGCAAGTCAAATGTCATCCGCGTGGGAGATGTTTCTTAATGCAGAGCACGTCTATACTAAGCTTGGCATGCCGATCAATTAACCGGTCAAATATTGTCAAACGACTGCCAAACGTTCCATGAGGGATTGTGTAGGTGGTGGCTTTCCATTTTTAATTGCGCCGTGCTGTCATCCGATAGCAAAAGCAAAGGAGCAAAGGCTTCCTGATTCCCAGCCTTGCAGGAATCGAGATACAGACATGCACACAGACTCCTGCATGCTCTCACACATTTCATCTAGGATTAAGCACCCCAGTTCAGACATTAGGCTAGAGGCTGTCACATTCCTGGCCTTGGCTAATGACCTGGTCGTGACCCAGAGAATGTGGCGTTATTGCTTCTTGCTGCTGGCATCAGTGCCCTGAACTGACACATGGTTCAGAGAAGAGTTCCCCGAGCCAAAGCACAGTACAAACCTGAGCACCTTAGTAGTATTAAGAACACATTCAAATAAATGAAAGCTCCATTGCCGGACTGGCTGGTTCCCAGACACCAGCCAGGGAATTCCCTAGGGAATCCTCCCCCACCCCCCAGAAGAAGACTCAGGGCCTGCCAAAAATGTTATTTTTGTTTCAAACATTACAAATTGTGGATAAGATGGATTGTTTCAAGAGGTGGCAGAAAGATATCTCTAGATTTGTCTGGCAGGGCAAAAAGCCCAGAATAAAATTTAAAATATTAACCGACGCTAAGGAAAGAGGTGGGTTTGCCCTGCCAGACTTTAAACTTTATTATGAATCAGCAGCATTTTGCTGGTTGAAAGACTGGCTGCTTCTTGAGAACACGGACATATTAGACTTAGAAGGGTTTAACAATGTATTCGGATGGCATGCATACTTGTGGTACGACAAGGTAAAAGCTCATAAAATGTTTAAAAACCATATTGTCAGGAAAGCTTTGTTTAATGTCTGGATAAGATACAAAGATCTATTGGAAAATAAGACCCCAAGGTGGCTCTCACCAATGGAGGCAACGGCTCTGAAAAAACTCAATATGGAGGCCAATTGGCCGAAATATTGGGAAATTTTAGAGCAAGAAGGAGACAAACTAAATTTGCAGAGTTTCGAGAAATTAAAAGATAAAGTGCGAGACTGGTTACATTATTTTCAAATAAGAGAGGCTTATAATCTGGATTAAAAAGTTGGCTTCCAGGTGGAGAAATCAAAATTGGAAACGGAACTGTTAGATCCAAATGCTAAAATATTATCAAGAATGTATAACTTGCTGTTAGAATGGAACACGCAGGATGAAATGGTTAAGTCAGCTATGATTAAATGGGTACAAGACATTGGCCATAACATTATGGTGGCGGACTGGGAGCAGTTGTGGACCACCGGTATGAAATTTACGGCATGTAATGCCTTAAGAGAGAATATTATGAAAATGGTATACAGGTGGTACATGACCCCAGTCAAGCTTGCAAAAATTTATCATCTGCCCGATAACAAATGTTGGAAATGTAGAGACTGAAGGTACTTTCTTTCACCTTTGGTGGACATGCCCAAGCATTAAGGCCTTTTGGGAAATGATTTATAAAGAAATGAAGAAGGTATTTAAATATACTTTTTTGAAGAAACCAGAGGCCTTTCTCCTGGGCATAGTCGGCCAATTGGTGTTAAAAAAGGATAGAACTTTTTTTATGTATGCAACAGCAGCAGCAAGAATACTTATCGCAAAGCATTGGAAGACACAAGATCTACCCACCGTGGAAGAATGGCAGATGCAAGTAATTGACTATATGGAGATGGCAGAAATGACTGGCAGAATCCGAGATCAGGGAGAAGACTTGGTGGGAAAGGACTGGAAGAAATTTAAAGACTACCTGCAGATACATTGTAAAATCCATGAATGTTAAAAGGATGTGAGATATAAAATAATATGGCATTAGTGAATAAGTTATGATTATGCAATAAGGAATGTAGCCAGCCCAGCTCAGAATGTAATAGGGATAAAAGTTTGCAAATAAGACTTACTTAAATATTTTAATAGATAATGAGATTTGAAAGAGGATAGGGATTTGCTGAATTTGATGGTAAACAGGAACACAAGGAAGGGAGGTGTGGGGAAGCCAAGAAACAGGGTTAAGAAACTTAGTACTTTAAAGGGGGAAATGTTTAGTTTTTTCTTTCTTTTTTTATGTATCTTTTATGTTTTGTATTGTTCTATTTTGTTATATGTTTTTATGTATCTCTTTAAAAAATCTTAATAAATATCTTATTAAAAAGAAGAAGAAGAAGAAGAAGAAGAAGAAGAAGACTCAGGGCCAGGGGATTGGTGGTGGGACAACGATGAGTGGTCAGAGGGAGAAGAAGGAGCAGAATGAGAGGGGGAGGTATCGGAAGCCAAAGAGGTAAAGGGGGTTTAGTGAACAGGAAGAGGTTGCGGCAGAGCACAGTTCAGACTCTGAGGCAGGAATCGTGTCCTCCCTAAAGGAGGGCATGTGTTGCAGTGAGACCTGGAGACTGACCTCCTGGTTGTGGGTGTGTCTATTGAATAGCCACAACACCCAATTGGTAGGTCCCTTGTTGCTGCGTTCAATCAGGCCAATGGGACGCAGGCTAAACGGATCAAGGGACCTATATATACCTATGCACATGTCCCAGAGCTTCCTCTTTCAGCTCGTGCATCGGAACACCCGCCCACCTCTCCCTAATTTTAGGGCATTTTGCGGTTGACCTTGCTATGCCGTCCTGTGTTGTTGGGACAGGGGCACAGCAGGGATTTCCCCCACATGGCTCATTGGCTGTTGCCATTTGGGTTTCGCTTGCCGCGTAGCAATTCGTCACAACTTGTAAGGTTGTGGATAGGCTCTGGTTCAAGTGATAGGGATGGGAGACTGGTCTCGCCATCCCTATGTGAAGGATAGTCCATTAAAAAATCCAGGGACTCAACTTGGTTTGGTCAACCCCTGAGAGGAGGTTGTGCCTGTGCCTGAGTCCATGGGAGCATCTGGGGAGTGAACAGAGTCTGCTCCCAGGCTTTTCACCTTCCTCAGGTGTTCACCCTTGGCTGACCTACCTGCAAGGGTGCAGGGAGCTAGTCGAACCAGAACCTATGCAACCACTCACTTTTCTGTAATCATTAAAGTTGTGGCCTAAATTCTTCCAAAATTCAAAACTAAAATTTGAGTCAAATGTGTCTTTATTTAGGGGGGAGGTCTCTGGGTCTGAACATGCAAAAGGGGCTGGAGAGGAGTGTAGCCAGGAGACAGAGAGGCTGGCTGCTGAAGAATCCAGGGAGTCTCCCCCTCCTCCTGTGACCAGCTCCCCTCCCTCCAGTCTCCTAGAACACAACAAGACATGAACAGGCAGTGCACAGGGTGGTTATACACAGACACATACGATGTGGGGCTGCGTGGGAAAGACCCTGGAGATGAGGAGTCCTAATGAGCACAGGAAGGCTGGAGCCTTCTCACAACCACTTCATTGGGTCAAGACCTCCTAAAAAGATTTGTTGAGACCACTAGGCCTGAGCTGTGGATTGTTTCCTTGAATAAAGAGTTAACTTCACTGGCCTTGGGTGATGTATTGTCTCGTTGCTGACCTACGCCCGACTCCAACTCTGACATCAATGCAGTTGCAGCAAATAGGAATGAATTAGTTTATTTCACTATTAACTGACCCCAAATTTTCTTGGTAAAAAGGTAAAGGGACCCCTGACCATTAGCTCCAGTCATGACCAACTCTGGAGTTGCGGCGCTCATCTCGCTTCATTGGCCAAGGGAGCCAGCGTACAGCTTCCGGGTCATGTGGCCAGCATGACTAGGCCGCTTCTGGCAAACCAGAACCTCTGCTAGGTTGGCAGGAGCAGGGACCGAGCAACGGGAGCTCACCCCGTCGTGGGGATTCGAACCGCCGACCTTCTGATCAGCAAGTCCTAGGCTCTGTGGTTTAACCCACAGCGCCACCCACGTACCACGTTCTTGGTACATAATGATAATGATGATGATGATGATGATGATGATGATACCTTTATTGTCATTGTACAACCTGTGTGCAATGAAATTAAATGAGCCTCCCCCCCAACACTCAATCTCTTATCAAACAACACACCACCTCGCAAGTCAATTTTTTGCTATGATATTTTTCGTTCAACAGCCTAACAGCTCATGGATAGAAGCTATTTTTTGGCCTGTTGGTACGGCTGATTATACTTCTATATCTCTTGCCCGAGGGTAGAAAATTAAAGAGGTGATGGCTGGGGTGTGAGTCATCCCTGAGAATTTTTCTCGCTCTCCTAAGGCGAGTCATCTAGCAGACTCAAGGGACAGCCCTTGATATCACCACCCTCTGTAAAGACTTCCTGTCCGTGGATGTCAGGCCAGCATACCACATTGTGATACAATATGAAAGGACAATTTCTATTCTGTACCAGTAAAATGAGTCCATCAGTTGTTGTTTAACATTATTTTGCCGCAAGACCTTGAGGAAATGGAGTCTCTGTTGGGCCTTTCTGACCACCTGAGTTATGTTGATTTTATGGTAATTTTTCTCCCCTTCCCTTAAGAATTTTTTTCCACACACCCCACTCAAGAATAGTCAGCAAAATCCCTCCACTCCATCACTTCCCATTTTGCTAACCAGGAATACAGATGGATAGTTTTGAGAGGCCATTTTCACTCCACCCTAGAAAATAC